AAACTATGCTTCATAATTACTACGCACTTTATGGTCTTTTCTCATTTCTTATTAAATCCTTTTTTCTTTAAGAAATTGGATACTATCACTCTTCCTTTTGTTTGGAAATATAAAGCACACAGAATTAAAAAGGATTGTCTTTGCAAAGCATAAAACTAATGGGGTTTGCCGTTACCTGATTTCCAGTTACATTACTGGGCGACTGGATTACGTTTTATTGCAATCCAGTCTGGAAGATATCCTAGCTCCATTCAACGGGTTAGAGCTGGAACATGAAGATGCTTACCATATTCTGTCAGAGCAGACTATAACCATAACTCTGTAACTCATTTTTAAAAGCTTTCCTTTTTGCTACCAATAGGAGCAAATCCTTTGTTTACTCTCTCTGCCAGCGATGGGATATTCAGCCTCTGGAGAGAAATTGGGCTTTGCAACATTTGGTTGTTTGTATCTTGATGGGATCTTTGCCTCATTCCAGCACCACAATCTACCCAACAATCACTCAAATTAAGAACGATGTTAAAACACACCTTCCTGGCTCTGAGAGAGCTAAACTCAACATGTTAGAGAGTCGTCGTATTAGAATATTTGCCAATTCACGTTTTATAGTCTCCCAGCTTTACGAGGCACGACAATCTGTGCGCCTTCCCAAAATGGCTAATATCAAGGAAAAATGGGGGAAAGAGCTTGTTACCCCAAACTGTTTGGGAAAACAGCCTAGAAAATATTCATGAGTGCTCCATTAATACCCGGCACCGTTTAATACAATTTAAGATCTTACACAGATTACTCACAGATTAGGAAGCATAAAATGTTTCCAGATACTTCGCCTTAATGTGAGAAGTGTGAATCCGCTGAGGCCGTTCCCCCTGTCCTGAACTACAACAGTCCTGGTGTGGCATATTGCGTTTCCTTTCCATGATTTTGGAATAGCAGGTGGTGCTCGATTAAATTTGGGATATTCTTGGAATATCTGATGAGTTTAAGAAAGTCAGTAGCACAAGGGTGTCTGTCTGTAGCTCTGTTTGTTGCTTGCTTGTAATTTTTCTTGAATAGAAATATGTAAATGTCAACTTAAATGCCTGTCTAAAGGAATGTTTTTTTCAATAAACGTATTGAAACGATATATACATACTCTTAAACCTGAAACATCTTCTTTCAATTAAATATTATTATATGACAGCCATGTAGACTTGGGTAGTAATTAGTTACATTTACTCACATTTACTAGAGTAGCTTTGCAGGAAAGCTTTATTTTGTAGTATTCTTACCACTCTGCACCTTTTACTTTTACTTGAGTATCTTTTTAAAGTGTCACTTCTCTTAAGCAACATTTCTAGACACTCTACCCACTGAACGAAGGAAGAACAAGCAACCAAAACGTCACCAGACACACACCTGCAGTTTTTGGTAAAGTCTCATGTGTTTTATAATGAAGAAAGAAAAGTGAATAGGAAAAACATTTCTTCTGTCTGGTTTTGTTATTTTGTACTTATGTTGTTTATATGAATTATTTGGGTTTTTAAAATACCCAAATTTCCACATTACTTTATATTCTGGTCCGAGTGACGTTCTAATCAATTACTCTATACTTGAGCCTTTTTTTTTTTTTTTTTTTTTTTTACCAATACTTTTTTTTCTTTTTATTTCGCAATTTTTTTTTTTGTTTTTTTTTTTTTTTTTTTTTTTTTACCAATACTTTTTTTTCTTTTTATTTCGCAATTTTTTTTTTTGTTTTTTTTTTTTTTTTTTTTTTTTTACCA